ATGATGATGATGATGATGATGATGATGATGATGATGATGATGATGATGATGATCACGCTACAATACTATAAAAATACGCAATAGGCCAAAAGACATTTTTATTAACTCCTCCCGGTTGAGTATGCTAGCACATCTTTTCTCTAGAGCAACTTCTGTGTTTTAGTTTTCTTAAATCCTTGTTTGTATTATATTTCAGAGACTCGGAACCATGGTTTTGAGAATAACTAGCAGTCCAGTGATCATTGCATTGCTGTTCATCGCAACCGCTGGTGAGTTGGTGATCCAGAGACGAGCTGCTTTCCTCGGCTTCCTAAAAAGTCGAAAGTCGAAACCTTTGCTGTCTGAGAGTCCATTTCGTTTCGTTTTTTTGTTTGGAATATTATTTTTTTTAGGGGGGGGGGGTTGCTGTTGTCATTGTTATAATATAGTGATGGGTGAAGGATGGATTTCCTGTTATCTGTTTCTGTTAATTATTATCTTTTGTTTATTTTTGGGGTTCAAGTTTATTTATTTGATTGTTTGTTTTACCAGTCTAGTTATTCTGTGTTGTTTGTTTTTTTCTTTAGGATCTTGAGTTTTAGAAGGAAGTTATGTAAAGTTACTATTCTGTCTCCTACTGTGCTTCAGATTCTTGTTGTTTGCTGTTATTGTTGTCATTGCTATTGTTTTTGTTTCTGTTGTTATTGGTGTTGGTGGTGGTGGTGTAGATGATGATGATGATGATGATGATGATGATGATGATGATGATGATGATGATGATGATGATGATGATGATGATGATGATGATGATGACCCACAATCACATCCAATGCCGCTGTAATACTATAAAAATAGGAAATAGGCCATCAGACTTTATTAACTCCTCAGTTTCCAACGTTTTTCCTGCTTTCGATTTTGTTTTGTTCTGCGGTATTTCTGGTGATGGTTTTGGGTTTTTTTAAATTCTGTTGGTTTGTCTTTTTTATCTCGAGTTGTTTTTGGGTTTTTTGCGTGTGCGGTCTTTTTGTGTAGGATTACTCACACCACATAGGCTAACCCACTGCGTTGTCAACATACTTCTTCCCTGATACCAGGAACTGGGTGGAAAATTGTGTTAGTGCTGGAGGTTTTCGTGTCGGTGATTTCACTACGATTTTATTCTGGGCGCTTCGTTTCCGTTTTTGCGTCAGTTTTGTTTTGTTTTTTTCTCGATAACAATTGAAGGAGTAGGTTCTATCTAACTGTCTGCTTCGATGAGTACGGTCTAATCTCTTATTTTGTGTGTGCATTTCAGTTCCCGTTGGCCGCTTTTGTACAAAATATTTTGATACGTACACACGCGAAATGTGCACGCTACGGCGTATGAATACGTGCTCACAGTGTGTAGCCAACCCCAATACAGAAACACTCCCTATCACGCTCAGATAACACACACATGACACTCTCACAAACTCCCACTATTTCTCTCTCTCTTCCTCTCTCTCTCTCTCTCTCTCT